AAGCTCAGTCTCAGGCACAGTCTCCGGACATGAGCAAAATGCAGACAAACTTTCTGCCAAGGCTTAGCACACATTGTCTGGAGTCCAGCAGCCAACGTAGTCCTCCTTCTCAGCAGAAGCCTCCCAAGCCTGGTCTTTACCGGCCTTCTGGCCTTCTGAGCTCTGACCAGAATCTCCCGTACAGAACAGCCTAAGGTGTTCCAGCTCTTCTTCAGTTGGCATCTCTAAACCTTTCCTAACTCTTCTTCCCACAAGCCAACTCTTGAGCCACAAGGCCAGGTAATGTCACAGCAACGACTCCACTTCTCTGGTACCAAATTTCTGTCTTGGTTACTTTTCTCTCATTACTGAGACAAAGTTCCTGACATCCAAAGTTAAAGGGGGAAAGGTTTATTTGGCTTACAGTTTGTAGAGGTTTCAGTCCATAATCGACTGGCTCCAAGCAGGGTGGCAGAGAGGTAACAGTTCATGGAGCCCACATAGTAGCAAAAGCAACAAGGGGCTGGTAGTAGAGTTTTCAGAGCTTTCTAGATGACTTTAATATGCAGCCAAGCACGGAAAACTGCTGCTTTATGGCAACAGCCATACCCTGAAGCTTATTCTGTCCTGGGATTTAAAAGAACAGTATAAGAATCATGGTGGAGGAAAAGTTTTCCTAAGAAAGTTCAGGCGGTCTCGTTTTCCTGCTAGCCAACTTTGGCCTGTTTGGTTAAATAAAACTTTATTGAAACACAGCCACGCTTGTTTGTTTACATTGTGTTCTGTGTCTGCTGCAATAGCCACTTCAGTAGTTGTAGCAGAAAGTGTATGACTAACAAAGCCTAAAATACCACTTTCTGGCCCTTGCCAATTGAGTTATGATGCCGTTTCCCAAAATGGATTCAAGAAAATCCACTCACTACACACAAATGTCTCCTAGATGGTTTCTAGTATTCTACTTAAAAGCCAACAATAATACACACACACACCCCCGCCCCATACTGGGGTTTGAATCCCAGTATATCTACAGCCCTTAATTATTATTTTATTTTGAGACAGGGGGCCTGGCTAAATTGCCCAGGTGGGACTCAAACTGGCAGTCCTCCTGCCTCAGCCTCCCAAGTGGTGGGATTGATTATAGGCATGTGCCACCATGGCTGGTAGTAATAATACGCTTTAATACATTCAATAACCACTTTTGCTACTTTGAGGTGCCTGTTTCTGAACAGAACTTTACATTTTTTTGGTGTACTGCTTTTCTCTCTAAATTTTAAGAGCTGTAGGAATTGTAGTAATCCACTTAGCAAAGAAATGGAATGTAGGAGGCTGACACAGCACCCTGGTAAGCAGAGGAGGCTGGGGTGGCATCACCAGATGTGCTCAGCCAGCCATGGTGCCTTTTCCAGTGTGCTAGCAGCTAGGAATATTGTGCAGCCTATTCCTCTGCTTTCCTGTCTTTGTGAACATGCTCTAGCAGCAGAGCATTTGCCTGCATTGTGTACACACGTGTGTGGAGCCACTGCCTAAGCCTGAGCATTTGTGGGAAACTGATGCATCGTGAGACCAGGAAGTGACATGAAAGAAATCACACCCACAAGCTTAAGCTTCACACGGTTTCTCATAGAATAGCAAAATGATGACTAAAGAGCAAAAGAAAAGCTAATAGGAAGTAGGGAGATCCAGTAGATCTTTCTCAGATGGGCCGGGGATCAGGGGGTGAAGGTGGGGAGGGGAGAGAAAAGGATGCAAAAAGAACTGAGGTGTGTTCTGCACACATCCCAGCTCCCCACGAGGAATGGGAGCATCATGTACTGCCCACATCTAATAAAAAGTAAAACAAAAAAAATAACGAAAGAGGATGGAACCCTGGCTGCCAGAGTAGGTGAGTGGCGCAGTCACAAAGGTCACAGAGCGCTCAGCTCAGCAGTGTCTTTGAGGTTGTTTGTGTCACCTGTGCTGCTGCCTGATGAGGACCTCATCAGGGACTCTGTCCCCCTCCTTCCCACCCCTCAGCCCGGTCTTTCTCTTTTTCGAGGTCTCTGCAGCCTGCACGGTGCCTGCTGAGGGGACCTGCACCTGCTGCTTCCTTTGTGCTGCTCATTAGCATTTTAAGAGATTTTAAAATTTTATGTGGATAATAGAAGCAGGATAGGTTTCATCATAAATGCAAGATTTGATCTCTCAGGTCCTAATTTAATCCTTGCTTCAGTAAGAAGGTGCAATTCTCTGATCAGGGGCAGGGAAACAGAACAGTTTGGCAAAAGAAACAGAGTTTAGTGAAGTCTTAGCGGGTGCCCTGCGTGTTCGTAGCTGTGTCTTTGAGAGCGTCAGGGCACTAAGAATGCTCTGCCTTCTGTTTAACAACAGACGCTTCTCATTTGCCAGCAGTCTGCAGAGATGTTGGCGCATACCTGGCTTTTCCTGTTCCCCTGGGGAGGCAAGCTTCATCCATGGGAAGGAAAGTGAACTTAATCACAAGCTGGGTGATTCGAGGAGAGACGCTCAGGTTCATGGCTCAGCCCCGTGGTTCCGCTCACAGCTTGCCTGCAGTATTTGTGGCCACCTCTGGTTGTAGCATGTACTGCTGTCTTCTTGTAAGATTGTCCACCTCTGGGCGACAGTCCCCGTGTCTGTCCATCTTCCTGGCCCTCAAAAGAGCACAGGTGCTTGCTGCGGATGTTGCTAAACACCGGGAGAGAAAGAGGGAATTGAGTCTCCCTTCAGCTCTGATCAGCTGTGCTATACTAAAATTACCCTCTGTTTTTTCATGCTTTTTATTTTCATTATGAAAGCCTTCTTTTCAAATAAAGCAACACATTGGATGAGTCACTCCTAGTAACTAAGATTTTTAAACGCTTGAGGTTTAATAATTTTGTAAAAATTTAGTGAATTTGGGGATTTTGAACGTGGTCTTCCCTACTTGCTAAGAAAGCTGGTTTTCCTGGTGATTTAGTGAAGCCTTTGTCAGATACACCTGGAAGTGGTGTTTCGCTCGGCCCCAAGCCCTCTGCAGCCATGCTGCCCACCCCTCCTCTCCTGGCTCAAGGCTTCCTGGCGCCCAGTTGCAGCTCTTCCTGTCCCAGACAGCTCACTTCCACCCTTCCTGAGCAGCTGCGATTCCTGGGGAGGGCCACCATGCTCAGCTTCAGAACTGGTAGCTGCGTGATCTCCACCACCTTTGTTTCCTGGTCTCTCCCTGCTTTTTGTCACCCTTGAATTCCAATACAAATGAGGCTTATGATTACGGAGAATCAGGATAGGGCAGGAGTGGGGGTTTAGTGAGAATAAACATGGGAAAGTTACAGAGGGTCCTAGGAACCCAGTGAATGGACACTCCCAGGTGTTGCCTATCCACATGCGGAGGTATATGGAGACGGAGAAGCCCATGTCTCAGCCCCTTCTGAGGCTCCCTAGAGAGTCCTTGAGTCAGGCAGGAGACATCGGCTTGCTGTAAACCAAGCGATACCTTTGATCGAGAAAGCCACTTAGAGGACTGTGACCTGTTCCCAGGAAGGCTCAGTAGGGACCAGGGCTGGAGTTGGACCCAGCAGTGGGTGTGGGGAGATGCACACCGCCCGGTGTCCTGAGGCTCTGTAGCTCTTGTCCTGTGCCCATCCTGACCCAGCAGCTGCGGCCTGAGGGTGTGCAGCTGCCTTGCTCTGGTCATGAGCTCGAGACATGAAAAGACCGCTCGCTGTCCACTGTCATCCCCTCGCCTCCGCTGTCTACCTCCAGCACATGTTCGTTCTGGGGTCAGTGATCGGTAGGGTGCTTTCCCCTTTTCAGATTGACTTTCCAGAAAAATTACATTCTTATGTTTATTCCATTAGGAATTTGATATTGACTGAATCCTATCTTTTATTCCTTTGACAATTTCTGATCCAGGAGCAGTTGGATTAGAGAGGAATCGATTTGGAATGAATTATTCAGCACAAATTCTCTTGTAGCCATTTTATATTCAATAATTCAAAATCATTTCAAGATTCTGAGCTAGGTATTTTAAGGAAAGGCACTAATAACTAACATGGAGTTAGTGTTATGTGACAGTAACTGCCAAATGATTTTACAGGTTTGAAGTCACTATTCTCTAGCAAATCCCTCATTGAGTACTGCCATTCTTTCCACTTTTACCACTTGGAAAGTTTAACTCTGAAAAACAGAAATTGCATTATGTAAGTATGGAATGTATGAGAAAAAGAGCGATGGGAAACATCCCAGACAGTGGCCTGAATCCCATGCCGCAGATTTGGGGGTTATTCTGCAGGGAACAAAGACTCACTGGGGTTTTTGGATCCTGGGGATAAAGTCACAGCTACTGGTAGAGAAAGTTTCACTGGGTATAATGTGCAGTGAGAGAGACCAGCAGTATCTGGGAGGCCTTCGACGAGCAACAAGGGCAGCCTTAGGAAGACCTGAACCGAGATGGCACCTGTGGGCAGGGAATGGAACAGAGCCCATTGTGCTTTTCTTGTAGGCTTTTCATGAGTTTCCTCTCTGGGCCTTGGTTTTCAACTTTCTAGCTTTTAAAAATTCTCTTTCAGAGTGCTACTGGTTTTGGGGTTGCCAAATTTCAGTGCTAGAAAAGGAACAAAGATATTAAATATTGACAATGTTTTGTTGCCTAATTATCTTTCGTTGGTAGGCAATACAGCGAGTAAACTCCTAAGAACCAGGAGTTAGCCTGGAACTGTTAGAATTATGCATAGCTCTGAGCCTTCTTTTGCCACTACTACACACTGTGTTCCACTGTGGTGCCATGAAGCCTCCTTTACTTTATTTCATTGCTGGCAGAAGTAACACAGTGTCTGGTTTGAATCTGAATTGAAAATTTACCAAGGAATAAATACATTAATGTGATGTATTGTGTATAGAAAAAGAGGCGAGATGAGAAAGAAGGGAGTATTTCTTCTGTTTCTGCTTCATTATGTTTTTGCATTCCGTAAACATTTTCTGTTTAAGGATTAGTGAGGTAAAGATGTGTAAAGGTACCCTAATCAGTAACAATCAGTTTTCTCTTTCAGCAGATTTCTGCTCCTGGCAGATCATCTTCCAGTGTAAACGGTGGATCTGACCTGGACCGCTGCATGAGTCCTGAAGGTAGTGCTCAGTATTTCATAAAGAACATCATCCGTATGATCCTCTTCAACGGGAGGGGATCTCGTCACCAGTGAGCTCAGTGTTTGGGGGTCAGAGCTTCCAGTTATATGAAATCTTGTCATTAATCTCTAGGCTGCCACAGTTTCAAGTTTTAGACTTGGGCTCCTTCATTTTTCCTTAGTGATAGGTCTGCTTACAATTCCTTTCTCTCAAATCTCAAAATTACCTGTGCCTTGAGTACTGGCACACATTGTGCCGAGTGATTTGATCTTTTTAAAAAATCTTTATTTGTATTAGTACATGTTTGCAGTACATAATGACTGTATTCATTTCAACCTTTCTGAGAAGGCTCCAGGCCAGAGGTCAACATTGATGAGGCATCTCAGCTTGATAGACACACCTACTCCTACATGGGGACCCACCCAGGGTGCCCTGATGGAACTGTATCCCCAAACACAGTCTCACTATGGTGTCCAGGCTGGTCTTGAACTTGCGATCCTCCAGCCTCAGCCTCTTGAGTAGCTGGGATTACAGGTGTGCAGCACTGTGCCCAGCTTGCTTTGGAACTGGTAGAATGCTTGCCAGCAGGCATGAATTCCTAGGTTCAAATCCCAGAACTTCACCAAAAAAAAAAAAAAAAAGAAATCCAATAGAATTTTCTTTACTAGCAAATCTTTGAGAAATCTTGAACATTTCTAAGGTAAATTCCCATCACCACCACTTTCCCCTTTCTTGAGCATTAAAAAAAGAGTTTGGAAAAGTTTAATTAGACTTTCTTTTTACCCAAAGCTGATCATTTATACTAACTGATGTTTTAGAGATTTCTTAGGATTATTGATTTTGTTGTTTTCTGATTCTAGCCAATAAGGTGAAAGGGAAATTGATTACTTGGGCATTCTATTTGAGGAATATGCCTAGAGATTTTCTTTAGTTTTACCATTGACTTAATTGCATGGCAGTTTGTTATTTTACGGATATATAGGAATCAATATAGGATGCTGATGATTGCTTTAGACTTTGCATTTACCCTTTTTTGCAGGTGTGAATGGAAACAGGTACTTGGAATCATCGACTCTTCTTGAGAAATACAAGATTGGGAAGGTCATTGGTGATGGCAATTTTGCAGTAGTCAAAGAGTGTATGGACAGGTGAGTGGGGAGTGAGGATACTTCTTTGTTCACCTGCACACAATTTCTTCCCTGGAATTTATTCTTAACATAATCAGCCAGAGGCCTTTCTGTGGAGACTCTCTTTCCGCCTCCTGATACTCTTGAGTCTAGCTGTTTGCCATGCCCACAAGTGGAATGACTGGAAAAAATGCATGTTGTTGGGTATGCATTGGACAGAGAGGTATCAGGTCTCATCCATTAGGCAGAGAGGAACAGGGCGGAGTTAAGTCATTTAATTTAAAAAATCCATAATGCCCATAACAGGCACACTTCTCAGCCTCTACTAATATTAACTGATTTTTTTCCCATAGTCGTCCTCTCTATGAACACTTAACTGGTAGAGCTCAGGATCTGTTAACTTACTGTTTAAGGTCAGAATCGACTAACTTTTGCCTAATCTAGGCCTTTTGTAAATACAATATTTTGTAAATACAGTCTGAGCCAGAAGACTCAGATTAAAAGTCTTTGTGTTTATAGACCACTGCCCTACCTGACTAATTTTTACTGTTTTAGGGGAAATTTTCCAGGAATTTTTAAAAACCAGTTTTTTCCATATTGGTACATCTCCCAGGGACATTTTAGTGCTCCTTTTGGTATACAAGGCAGCTAGCTCACTGTTCTCTAAACGTTACATGCCTCTGATACATAGATTGCCACCTAAGTAGTGCATTAAGCATCTAAAATACGACTTCCAAGGACTTGTCAGAGATGAGTCAGGGTTGGGGTAATCACATGGGAAGAGCCATTTCAGTGGAAGCTTTTCCTCCCATCTCAGCCTCATCAGTGTAGACTCTGGCTGCCTGGCAAAAGCAGCTACACTCAAAAGAACTAACACATTCCAAGAATACTGGAGTGCTTTATCGAACTTTTCACTTTGATCTTTCATGGCACGTTCACACTATGTGAAAGTGATTAAAAAATTAAGCAGTAACATCAAGATTTTTGTGTCCAAGCTCTCTCATGCACATATGGCCATCAAAGGGATGCATAACACCACACCAGATCCCAACTGTTGTTTACTGACTGTGGAGTACGTAATGAAAGTCTGAGGACTCTGTAGGTTAGAATTATAGGATGATGTGACAAATGTGTTAAAGATACATAGATAATAAAATATTTTTCACTTGATCTGTTTTTCTTAATTTTGTTTGGAAAGATGGTATCTCTCATTTATGTCTTTAAGTGTTCTTCCTCTGATTATTCCTAGGTTTACTGGAAAGGAGTTTGCCCTAAAGATTATAGACAAAGCCAAATGTTGTGGAAAGGTATAGTATGCTTTGTAAATGAACTGAGATAACTTTTTATCTCAGTTTACTGTGATCGAGGAGCTCAGGGGAGACTTGCAGAGACCATAGCTCTGGGAGTGCATCAGTAGTAGTGGCTGGGAAAGTAGTTCACCTTTGATTTTTCTTACTACTACCATAAATTGATTAGATCTTGGCCATAGCTGTAGAAAATGTAAGTTCTCTTCTCTGGGAGATATCTACTCAAAATCCAGCGACACTCAGTGTGGCATGAACTGCAAGGGGCCTGAGAAGTCACCACACTTTCACGCCAGCAAATTAGCCTTTCGGCTTCATGGAGGTTGGCAGAGATTAGAGACAAGACGTTAGTACTCCTGGCACAGCCGGTGCCAGGAACTTGCGTGTGTTGTGCTTCCTCCGAGCTCCAAGTCCACGGAAGTGATGCTGAAGGCTGCAGTTGGATACTGTGTCCACAGGGGGTTTGGCTCAGAGCCGAGAAGCCCCAGGCTCAGAAAACCCCATCTTACAAAGGGGCAGCTGGCAGACCTCCCCTGTCTTTTGCCCAGAGGACAGTATCTTTATTCCCCTGGTCAGGAAACAGATCCACCCTCTGCCCCTAGGAGAGATCCTATCTCGGTGTTCAGGTGAAGTTTGCTAGAGTGTCACTACTTTATGTTTGGAAAAAAATTTTGCTAACAATGGTTAGGAAAACCCCTTTAACACCGATTGCTTCTGGTAACATGTCAGTGAAGAGAGCGGGCTAGAATTACAGTGACCAACCCTGGAGCTGCAGGCTACCGATTGCTACCAAGCACTTGAAAATTAGGTGAGTCTGAATTGAAATACAAAGTGTGATCAAAACACTGCATATGGTGAGTATTTAACTTTAAAGAATTTATTACAGTAAAAGACACATTGTTATTAGTCCCCTCAAAATATTCTCCCTCACTTTGAATACACTTATCCCATCGTTCTTGCTACTTTCTAAAGCAGTTCTAGAAGTCCTCTTTAGTGAGGATCTTTATGAGGAATGATAAAAAAAAAAAATAGTGAACACTCCCACTGACTGCCATCCAAAGGAAAGGTGGGCTTGTAAAGACATTTCAGTGCGTCCTCTTCCACCTTTTTCAGCAGATCTGGAACTGTGTCTGACTCTTCCCCAAAGTCAAAATGACCATGAAAAGTAAACATTTTGAATTGATTCCGAGGCAACCATGACAGTGTAACTAAAGACACTCACAAAAGAGGACTTCCAGAGCTGATTCAGAAAGTGGCAGGACTAATGGGATAAGCGTGTTTAAAGAAAGGGGAAGTATTTTGAGGAGAATTAATGTCACTGTGTCTTCTACTGTAATATTTTTAAAATTTAAACATTCATATGTATTTGGTCACACCTCATATGCTGTGAGTATAAAATAAACACGAGATTTTGAAGACTTAATACCAAAAAATATAAAATATCTCATTAGTATCTTGTGAGATTGGACAAGAACCTACCTAATCAGATTTCCCCATAGGGTCAACATTGAACCTAACTGTTGGATTTGATTTGGTTCTTCTCCAATTCAATTTGCGACCAGAATTGTGGAAAGAATTAAATTAAGATCGTGAACGTAGGTTATGGGATTAAATGAGTCATAATTTTAAAGATAATTCTGCCTGCTTTTCATATTTTAATGTGTCTCTTAGTAAATTTAGAATTACATAAATGGATCACCTCATACTCTATTGGGTAGTGCTACTCAAGCCAGAATAGTTTAATCCTGGCTCTATTTCATCTTGATGTGTGATCGTGGAAAAATTATTTAACCTGTGTTTCTTGTTTTTCCAAAATTTCTTTATTAATAATACATAAGATGTAAGGTTATTGCAGCTGATTGAATGAAGGCATGGAAAACATGTAGAAAAGTGCCAGTATGTAATAAGAATTTAACATGTCAACTATTAGTATTAATATGCCAGAGGAATTTAAAATTTATATTTAGCAGGATTTAAAGTGATGGCTGTGAACTATTCTTTAGTGAAAATCTACAAAATTGTGCATTTTGAACAGAAAACTTCAAGTACTATGGTGAAGTTTTAGGAAATTATTCTCAGAGCTCCTGGAATAAAAAATCCAGGAGACAGGTTTGTCATTTACTATTTTTTTTTCTTCCTTACACTGTGATGATCAGCAAAGCAGAGAATGCAAAATGTCCGATTTTCTTTGTCTTCTTTAAATTTATATGCTTTTACTTATTCTAACAATATTATTAATTTCTTCCCACTCTCAATAGCCTTTTCCCCATATATAACTGTTCCTCTTCTGTCTATGGTACGATTTAAGCAGAATGTTCCAGGTTCTATACAAGTACATTAAATTTTTTTTCAGAAAACAAAAGTGATTGCTGTGGTAAGATTATTGTTTTCCCGATTAAAACTTAAGCAGCTGTTTTTGTAGTTGAAAAAAGTGATCTTTCTTTATTAAAATATTTAGTCCGGTACACCTACTACTGAGACAAATGAATGGGTACTTTCAACTTTTGGTTCTGATTTTGTCTTGTTATGGAATGTCATTCTATTTTTACAATTCATGATCACTTATTTCCATCCTTACACTTTGTTTATTTGAACAACTGTTTTCACAATAACGTTATATAAAATCGTAGTTGGAAAACTTGATATTGTTATAAATAGGTCGACTTTTTTCCTGTGTGATTAGATTTTTAGATAAAACCAGTATGGAAAATTTGTTTTTAAAAAATTTAGGGGAGCATTCAGCCACTGGACTGGAATATCGTTGGTCACCTCTGCTTTGAGGGTTGTGTATAGAAAATTATACAGCTGAAAATATCTGCTATTAAAATGCATTCCCCTAACTTGTATATATAGTAACTCTGCAGATTTCCTTGAATGATTCCACTTTTCCAGAGAAGAGGCTCAGATTAAATAGCTTCCCCAAAATCACACAGCGGCAGAAGAGCAATGGGGTTTGGGGCTGTCTGGCCAGTGTGTATGCTGTGTAACTGTCATGTGTCTTGTGCCGTCTGCCAGCTCAGCGTGTGCATTTTTTCATGTTATGTGAATCTGGGAAAAATTCGTCATGTCTCTTGGCTTCTCTTTTCTTTTCTACTACGTACATGAGTGTTATTAGATTATCTTTTCCTTTCACCTAAAATGTGGTGTGTGTCTTCTCTATGGAAGACGCTACGCTAGGAACAGGGTCTTCTAACATGAATACCAATTCTGTAGAGTGTTATTGGGGGTTCAGGGGAAGCTTACAGTGGAAAAGTAGGTGGCCAGTAAAGAAACGGGAGCAAGATGCTGGAATCGTGCTCAGATTCCAGTGGGCAACAGTGGAAGAAAAGCCCTCCAGGTTACCAGAGCTGCTGAGTGAAGGCCGGAGGGTACAGAGCATGCTGGGTTCTTCTGAGCAGGAGGTTATTGCAAGATCTGCTTCAGGGCCTGATGAGTAGAGGCTATGGAAGGAGGCTGGGATGTCTGTGAAGTTGTGAATCCTCCCACTTCTAATATCCCTTTCACTTTAAATAGGTATCCTTTGCCTTTGCACAGTACACAAAGCGTGGGGTTCCTGTTACACTGCTTAGATTTGTCCTTCCTTCTCTCCCCATTGTGTACGGGTTTGTGTTCGTCATAACATGTTACGTATGTCTTAGTTTGTGAGGCTGTTGGAGTAAATCACCACAGATTTGGTGGTTTAGGAATAGGAAACTGCTCTCACAGTTTGGAGCCGGGGACTTTGCAGAGAAGCTCTTCCTGCCTCTGAACAGTCTCCGGTGAAGACCAAGTCTTCGGGCTCCTGGCTGCTGCTTCCGATCTCTGCCTCCTCCTCCACATAGCCTTCTCTTGTTTTAGTGCTCCTCTTTGTCTCTGTAAAGTCTTCTGCCTCTTTCTTAGAAGACATTTGCGATGGCATTTAGGGCCCACACAGATAATCCAGGGCTGTCTCTGCATTGCAGAAGCCTCAATTGCATCTGCCAGAAGTCTTTTTCCAAATAGGGAAATATTTACAAATTCCAGGGATTAGGACCTGAGGCCTTTGGGTGAACATTATTCAACCTACCAAGTGTATTTACCCTGGCAATCAAGTGTAGTGATGGGAATGTCTTATCTCCTGCTGTTTTAGCCTCAGCAGTGTTCGCTAAAGCAGTAGAGCAGACAGCTGTAAGCCTGTATCAGGCAAGAGCAGTGCCTGCTGTGTGTGTTCATCCGCAGAAGCAGCTCGGCACCTACAGTGCTAGGAACTTGTGGGTGGCTGGAGACTGAGATAACCCAAACCCCCACGAGCTCTCAGTCCAGAGGGGCGAAGGACCAGTGCACACACCACGAAAAGACGGGGAGGACAGCTATGACTGGGGAATAAAGGGGATCACCAGGAGCCAGGTGAAGAAAGTTCCAGACACAAGATTCCCTGTGCAGATGCTCAGAAGTCTGCATGAAAGCCTGGCAAGGAGAGGAGAGGTAGGGGCATGGATGGGCTGATGCCACGCGGGAGGTAAATGAGCAGGGCGTAGCGATCGATGGGACACCTTGGGGGATGAGGGAGGGAGAAGTCCAGGTAGACTTCTCATTTCTGCTTTGGGCAGCTAAGTTCATGCAGTGAGACTGAGTACACGGGAGGAAAGGATTGTGTCGTGAGTCTGGGAAGGCTGGGAAAACGTTGGTTAGTTTCATCTGGGACAATTCTTTCTTCCTCTAACCCGTTTCTCTGTCTGTCTTTGCATGACAAAATCACTGTAGCCAAAGACTTCACAGTATCCTTTGCCCTGCTGTACAGTGATTCCTGTGTAGATTATTTGGAGTTGGAATCCTGAAATCACTTAAATAATAGTAAATGACCAAATAATGTAAATTCAGTATGGTTTAAGACAAAAATCAATATTCTTGTTATATTTAGAAATATTCTCTTGGAAAATGCAACCTAAGACGTCTTGCCCTTTAGAAACAAAGACACGTACTGCACGTCCAACACGTGACGATGTTTGTAAAGGTTTTAGGTGGGGCTTTTGTTGTGCTGCTACTGCTGATTGGTTTCATAGATGGGTTTCACAGGTACAGAAAGAAGTTGAGAAACAAAGGCTACCAGCTAACCACATCCCAATAGAAACATTCACCCTATGCCTAGGATACTAGCCTTTGTCAGGTAGAATACAGTAAGTCAAAAGAATGATGGAGGAACTGTGGCTGTAATACTCAGTATTTAAAATGTAATCTTGCTGGTGGCTTTGGGAGCAGTCCCACAGCATTTCCCAAAGGTTCCCTGCATGCCTTTATTGAAAGGATAATAACTTTTGGGAGGTGTAGTTCCCTTATGTGGTTAACGTCCTATTTTAATTCCAATTTGAATGTTTCTTTGGGGTCCTGGTGATTGTTTTATATATACAAATTCGCATCCCAGAGCCCCAAAGGAGGAGTAAATCTATAGACTTCCAACTTTTAGGAACATGAATAGGGAGGAGAATCAAAGTGATAGATCCATTGGCTTTAAAATAAAAAGCCTGTTTTACTACAGTGGTAGTAAGTGCTGTTGTCTTTGCTTCTCATAGAGTAAAATAAATTCATTTGATCTTTCTTTCTTTCTTTCTTTCTTTTCCTTCCTTCCTTCCTTCCTTCCTTCCTTCCTTCCTTTCGTGCCAGGGATCGAACTTGGGACCTTGCACTTGTGAGGCAGGCGGCAGAATAACTGAGCTAAATCCCTGGCCCTAAATTTATTTGATTTTTACATACTCACCAAAGAAAGTCATGCTCTGCTTTTTCAGTGATTAAGGCGATACCTGGAGCAGATGATCCCAAAGCTGCAGAATGTGTGAATGGATGTGCAGTGGGTTTGCCAGGTCTTGTGACCAAGAGGAAGTTGGCTGTTCAGCTGCTTCCCCGGGGAGGGAAGGGACCAGGGTGCTGGCTGCTGTTTCATGCAGTTGCTCTGTGATGTAGACAGGTGGGACCTGGAAATAGGTAGGAGGCCCTGTCACTTTTCCAGCCAGGGATTATAACATCTGAGAACTGCCATGCTTCTGGGAGGTTTGGAAGGATTTGTTGAGTCCTCAGCTAGGCAAAGATTTCTCAGCCCCATTCATTAACAGATTCTCCTACACGAAGCCTGGTAGTTCTTTACCTCCAACTCAGTGTGATACTGTTCCTTGCTCCTGTCCTTTCAGAGAATTAAATATTTTCAGCTTTATAGCTATCATTTCATTTTGGAGAATTCCAACTTTCCCTCTTTGAAAGAATGATGACATGCAGAACAAGAGGTGTAGACCCGGAAGCCAGAAACCTCGGTGTATATCCCTATGGCCGAGGACTGTTCCAGGCATGGAGTGTTAAGTGATTACACAAGTACCTTGCACAGAAATGACAAGTAGTAGATTTCCACTACATACCCATCTCCCCCCCCTTCAGCTTAGCATTTGTTCTGTCATTTATCAATATTTATTGAGCAACTTCTTGAACAAGCACAGTGCATTTATTGCTCAAGAAAGACAACCCAACATGTGCAGGAGCTTGCAAAGGATTTCCGTGTGTGATTTATTCATTTTTTAATAATTTATACCTCCAGCTATTATAAAAAAGGATTAGAGACACCCCAGAGTTGACACACGGAGACACAAAGATAAGAGGCATCACAAATGGTATCGTAAACTAGGGACAGTTATCTTACTACAGTGTCAGAACACTACTTTAGCTCTGAGGTTCATGATAGTAAAGACAGAAGGGCAATGTGAATGATGCACGCATGTGTGTCTATATATCTGTTATTATATACATGTGTATTTAGGTAGTACAGGACATTGTAAAAAGGCTTTGTTTAAAAGCTCTCCTATTTGAATACCTAGAATAAGAGGGCAGTTGGCAAATTTCATAGAGCATTCTCCAAATTCAGAATTCATTATTGATGTTAATGAAGATCAACAAATATGGCATTCTTGAGAGGTTTTCATGTCTCATTTAAAATAGGGGAATCATTGTTCACGATTCATGGGTTGGTGTACTGAGAATAATTCTTTAGTTCTGTGATACGTTGCTAGAGTGCTGAACCCACCTACATTACTCACTAGGACTGAGAGTCAGGTGGCATTTTCAGAAAAGTGATTAGAGTTAAGATTAGATTAGTGGTCCCTGTGGCACTCTATGTTTCTGGATTTCTGAAATAAATACGACAAGGACCATCCATCTGGTGAATGATTCCATGCCTGGTCTCAGAGGAAGAAAGTTTCCTTTTCATGAATTTCAGCATGAAAATGAAATTTGTATGGATAACAGTTAAAAGTAAAAATATTGAATACCAGAAGCGGTGTGCTGTAAGCATAGCAAGTTTTCTAACTTGCTTGGTCTGTGTTTCTGAGAGTACCCTGAGGTGAGAAGTGACTCTGCTAACTTAGAAAGCAGTGCTGTGTGCCCAGCCTTTCATGGGGTCGCAGCCTCTTGCAGTGCTGAAGAGTTAGATGGCAGTAGGTTTTCTGTTCCAGAGCAGCTCCACAGAGCCGGGGATGTCCTCCTTCTGGACATGGACATAAGTCGATGTCTGTTCGCTAATGGCAATGGAGTGTCCACAGTGACCTGTCTTGTCCATAGAAGCGAGCAGATCAGGGTTTGGGTCCCTGCTTCTCTGGCCTCGGAGCTGAAGGCTGCATGCCTCGCCTCCCTACTCTGTAGGCCTTAGGGCAGAGCAGAGGGTTCTGTGGTTGCTGATGGCCCCTTTCTCCATGCTTCGTTTGACAGGAACACCTGATCGAGAATGAAGTGTCAATATTGCGCCGAGTGAAACATCCCAACATCATCATGCTGGTCGAGGAGATGGAAACCACAACTGAGCTCTTTCTGGTGATGGAACTGGTCAAGGTAGGAGCATGGGAGTTAGCAGAGACTTGCAATATCCCTGAAGGACCTGATGAGACAAGTGTTTGGCTGCCTGTAACTCCTTATTTATAGTCTCTGTGAGAGGCCCTTGTGGCTCTTCTCCGCTCCTGGCTGAGGACCACATTTCTTACCATCACAGGACTACACTATTGATGTCTTGATGTGTCTTTGTGAATGCTTTAGGGTGGAGACCTCTTTGATGCGATTACTTCTTCGACCAAGTACACGGAGAGAGATGGCAGCGCCATGGTGTACAACCTCGCCAATGCGCTCAGGTACCTGCATGGCCTCAGCATCGTGCACAGGGACATCAAGCCAGAGAACCTCTTGGTACGTCCTCTCTGCTTTTCTCTCCCAGCTCTGCCTCCGCTCCTTTAAAATGCTCATGATTGTGTGCAAAGCATCGTACGTAAATGAAGACACTTGATGGTCTAAACCATGCTGCAGTGAGACTTAAGCGACTGTAGGAAATCAGCAGGACACAGTCAGTGACCATGAAATACTGACAGGTTTCCTGCAGTGATCCATGCTTACTGTTTATCGGACGGTGGAAAATACATTTTCATTTGTTTTCAGTCGTGGTTGTATTAATTTCCTGTTACTATAACAAAATGCCTGAGAAAATTACTTCATAAAGGCAGAGGTTTGTTTTGGCTCATGGTTTTGGAGTTTTGATCCAAGATCAGGTGAATGCATTGCTTTGGGCCTCAGGTGAGAGTGCCAGGTGACAATTGTGGGGAGCAGGTGGCTCAAAAGACTGCTCACTTTGTGAGCCAGGAAGCCGAGACGGTAGGAAGGGGCTGGCTGCGGAGCCCCTGCCAAGGCCTTACCTCCGTGACTGGAGAACCCACAGGCTTCACCTCCTGAAGCCCCAGCCCCAGCATCGCTGTTGGAACAAAACCTTTGGAATTTGGGTCTTTGGGGGACACTTAACATCCAAGCCCCAGCAGTGATACTGAGGGGAGGAGGCGGAGTGATAATTGGGTAAACATTCGGAAGAATCCATTGAAGATGGGAAGTAGAGGCTCGTAGGAGACAGAAGCAGAATATGGAAGTTCATTTATGTGCGGGATAGAATTTGGGAAATAGCCTAGTCTGTCCATTGATGTGGAAACTGAGACCAAGAGACGCTCATTTTTCTTGCCTGAAAGTGTCATTTGCCATGTTCTCCTCCAGAGGAAAAAGCCATATTCTACTGCGATGTGAAGGTCAGGCCATGGCATTCACTTCCCAGAATACCCTTCTCACCTTTGTGACCTTGCAGTGTCTGTCAGCTCCCGTGGCCAGGGGCCTCACAGGCAGAGGTGACAGGGCTTTCTCCAGACATGTAGATAGCTTCACCACAGTGTTAATGAGGAAGCCCTGGCACCTCACCCTGGGGGGTCCAGGTACTGGTGCTCACTGTGAGTGCTGTGGCTGCAGTTCTCTGGGAGCCGACTGGTTCCTCTGGAGCCAGCTTGTCCAGAAGTGCTGATTGCTCAGGCCCAGAGGCATCTGGGAGCTTCCTGTACACATGGAGAGTCCCTTTCCCTGTCCACTGACCCCACTGTCAACCCCAAGTCTTCTCTTCTGTATCTTTTTTGTTTTTGTTGTGCTGGGGATGGAACCAAGGGCCTCATATGTGCTAAGCAAGTACTCTACCCCGGGACAAGGCCCTACGGCCCACCACTGGGTCAGTCTCTTAATGTATGTAAAGTCTCCTCAGAACCCCATACTCGCTCCTTTTCTCTCCTCCCGCGTCAGGTAGAAAAGGTAGCGATTGATCTTGTGTCTCAGAACCTAACCCGGAAGTCAGAACCAAATTCCTCACCTGGTCTCCTGTGTTCTAGGTGAGGGGACACCTCTCCCCAAGGCCTGCACCAACCCCTTATGCAAGGGGAGGAGAAGAGAGGCCTTAGAACTGACCTCTGCATGAGGCTGCTGTGTGGTGAGGAAGCTCTGGAAACAGGCTGAGTCACACAGATGTGAATGGCATAGCTGTCGTCCTTTGAGACCTAACTGGATCAACGGTTTCACTCTGGAGTTGGTTGGCCAGTTGGCATTGGCCCTGGACGAGAAAGTGCTGTTGGGGCCCTGAAAGCAAATACCCGGAGTAACTGTCAGCCTCTTCCTGTCTAAGACCTAATTCAGTTTTAAACACCAGAGCATTCGGGCATCTGATTTGCATCCGCTTCTTGGGTAGCAGTGTCATAATTTAAGCTCCTGCCAGTGGAGATGTATGGGTCACTGTGTCCGGGAGCGCAGGGCTGGCTGGCTGTTAGGCTGTGAGTTACAGCCTGGTGGTGCCCTGTCAGAGTTAACCAAGGAGAGGCCGTGGTCAGTTCTGCTTTCCAGGAGGTGTGGGCAGGGGAGAGAAGAGAGCTGATGTCTCATATTGGAAGTCCTTCTAAATCAGTCTGTTGGCATTTTATTTAGAGAACATGTGGTGTGCGCTCTGGTTTTTATTTTTGCGTTCTGAGAGCAACTTTCAACTGAGCCTCATTTGAGCACCGCAGGGCTGGGTTGTCATAGTGGTGCTTTTTGAAATCCGCTCAGAATCTGCATGCACATACAGGCCACGGTTGGGCTTCCGGCAGTCCACCCAGCAGCTCTTTTCAGATTTAGAATCTGTTGCAGAGTGGTGAGGGTCCTGGCTGCAAACCCTGCTTGAGAGTAACTTGAGTACTGTGTACCTCAGTTTTCTGCTGTGTGAAGTGGAGATAACAGTTCTGATTCCTGGTAGGGTCCCTGGACAATTCCAGTAAGGTGATATTTGGGAGAATAGATTTCCTTGGGAGTGTCAGTTAGTGGGCTCCCATACACCCTCACTCCTGAGAGAACTGAACAACTGCTGCTGCTGCTTCTGCTTCTCGCTCCCCTCCCCTCCCCTCCCCTCCCCTCCCCCTTCCCTCTCCC